GTCTGACAGTTATCAGCTGCCTTCAGAGTCAGATATCAGTGAGGCAGAAGAACAGCTGGAGCCTCTTCAACTGGAGTGTGCGTATGTGCAGAGTTGCCAGATGAAGGGAACAGCTAAGGAGCAACTTGGGAGTAAAGCCACAGGTGGACAGTGAATGGCCCATCCCACAGGGAATAAAAGAGGAGCGTAAGGGGAGTGGGGTTTTGCAGGAGACAATTAGTTCATTCTTGCCAAGTATTGTGGTATCTGAAAGATATTGGCCTGGCCACTCTTCAAGCCTGATAAAGGTCTTTTAACTATGAACTAACTTGACAGACTGTTGGCCGGGACTTTGCTGGAGAGGAATTCACTGTAAATTAAATAATAGGGGACAAGAACTCAGCTTTGTACTGTTAGGGATACCTAGGTGAGAACATGTACTCCCTGAAACCTGGGAGTTCTTTATTTCACCATTCCCTTAAATTCAGGCAGAGGATCATAACACTCTAGAATCATAGGGTTGTAATGGATGTTGATGGTATTCATCAAACCCAATCCTCTGTCAAGTGCATCAATCTTTGTACTATCCCGGACTAATGGGAATCTTTTCTTGAAAACCTTCAGTGATGGACCATCTATATTTCAAAAGGTAGTCTGTTCCATTCCTTAATAATCGGGGAATTCGTCTCTCTCTTTTTCTTTCCCCAAATTTGGATTTCTCACTATAGATGTTTTACTCACTGTTTCTTGACTTCCCTTTGAGTATTCATTGGCCTATGTTTCTGTTGTTTCCAATCCAGTGGAATGCTTGGGAAAAAAATAACGTCTAGGAGATCAGGACTCTGTTCATCAGCACAATCATCTGAAAACTGAACTTAATGGGACAAAATTTGATATAGTGAGAGGAATTAGTAATGTGAAAAAAACAACAACCCTCATAATATTTCTCCAATTGTCAACTGCTCCATTCCAAACTCCTCTCCTTCTGGTCACGTGACTTAGAGCAGAACTCCAGAAAGAAGAGACTGGAAATAATTCCATGCTCTTCATGCATGCTTTCCTTAAGTTGTGTGCCCTATGCTAGTAGGGATTTAGAAAGAATCAGCACCTGGGAATGAGCCATTGTTATAGATACAGCTATGTAGCTCTAGTCCTTCACTGTCCTGATACCTTTTGCCTTTGCTGGGTGGCAATTCTGAGAGCCTATGGAGTGTATCAGGTAGGAGAAATGTATTCTAGGCACTGGACACAGTGGTCTTATCAAAATCTTGTTTACTTACATACAATTTACACAGTGGTGACTATTTCCTCCATAGATAAGCACATATGGTACAATTTGAACCTATTCTTTGTCCAAAAACCTCCCAATCTATTTTGAAATAGATTCTATTGCAAAGCAAGTATATAATTGCTTGTTATAAATAGAACTTTTCAAAAACTTTGACCAAATTGGTGAAAAGTCTTCCTCCTTGCCCCATTATCAAAAAAGACTAATTCAAACATTAACAAATACACACCCGCACACACACAAACACACTATCAAAAATACATTGCTGCAAATTAATTTCTCTTTCCTATGTTCAAAAATGCTGCAGCCATTCCATATGCTTGGAAAACCCACAAATTATATTTTGATACATACAAATAATAGGGATATAACAACAACAACAACAACAACAACTCATACAGATAGATTTCCAGAGACTGATCCAGAAAAATATTGACAGTCCTGTTGATGTCATCTCAAATGCAAGAACCATAGGACAAAACCAAACCATCTCCAGCAGGGTGATTGTAATCAAACTGAAGGAGGTTTTTTTCCAGTCATAAAGTCATTTTATCTTCATGCAAAATTCATGTCAAATTGTTTTTAATACAATTCTCTACTGGCTTTCCAGTACAGAACATTCAAATTCATTACTCCTATGATCATATAAATGACTAATAGCAATCATATCATTTGTCATCATATCCCTCCAAAAGCAGATTACTGACTTTAAAGTCACAGATAGTTCCTTAAAACAGGGATATCAAACTCGATTTCATTGAGTGCTGCTTCAGAGTTGTGTTTGACCTTGTGGGGCCAGAGTGGGCATGGCCAGCTCAATGTCACTTGTGTCAGGGCGCTTGTGGTGGCCTGAGCACTCTGCCAGCGAAAACAGGATCCCAAGCTCTGTTTCTGGCTGCGATGGCCTCCTGCAACTGCCTGTCAGCGAAAATGGAGCTCTAGAGGACCACAGGCTGCCCTCCCGAGCTCCATTTTTCAGGCAGAGGCACTCTGGGCCGGTCCATTCACTGTTTTCAGGGCATCCCTGTGGGCCAGATCTAAGGCAGAGCTGTGGGCCAGATCTAAGCAGAGCTCGATCTGGCCCGCAGGCTTTCAGTTGGACACCCCTGCCTAAAACACCTAAACACTGCAGAATAGTGCCGGAGTTCCTTGTG